CACACACCCTCGAGGCCCAGCTGAGGCAGGCGAGGCGCTGAACAGAAGTGGTCTTGACAGAGCAGAGCAGGAGCTACTGTGATGGGAATGGGCGTCTGCAGACAGCTGACAGACCCCAGCCAGGAAGGAAGATGTTCCATCTTCTCCGAAAATGTTATCAAGTCAACACTTACGGGCCGCATGGATGCGGGTGAGTTGAGGCGAGCCTGTGTTGTGACTGGCACCTTCTCTGTCCCCAAGGAGAGCATGGCGAAGATGGGCTTTGCAAGCCGGGCTGAGATAGAGGATTGGTTCACAGCGGAGACCCTGGGGGTGTCTGGGTAAGACTCCCTCACTTGGGTGGAGGAGAGGAAGCACATGCCTCATCTGCAGGCCAGAACAGGCCCAGCTGGAAGCCCCTGGGAGTCCCTGCTTTTGGCCTCTCTCCTCCAGACCAAGGTGTTGGGCTGGGGGTCAGGGAGCTGCCTCGGCAGTGGGCTCCAGTGCCCCTGAGCCAGGCCAGACGTTGCCTGGAAGGTGGATATGCCCGACTGAGATAGGGGCCAGGTGGCCTGAGCCTGACACTTTGGCCTGAGCCCCCCAGTGGAATCAGTGACACTCAAGGTGGCATGATGGGACAGGTGGATGTGGGGGCCGGTAGTTCAGTGGCGACAAGGCATGCTGTCCATGTTGACCCGCTGTCATCTCCCAGCACAACCTGCAGCCCCGTTTGGACTAGGCTTGTGACCCGCTTTGCACACGGGTATCCCCCCACCGAGTCCACGCTGGATCCTGTGATCACACCCACCCTCCTGGACCCTGTGATCACATCCACCCTCCTGCAGTGGGGTTCACAGTTTAGCTTTCATTTTTAAACAGTGCGTAATGTTTACCTTTTCTCTAGTCTTTTATAATGGAATCCTGAGGCACGTTTTGTTATGGTCAGCGCTGAGGGTCTGCTTTTAGGGGAATGGGGCTGGTTGGGGGGTCAGGCCCTCCCCGTGCTTCCCTGCCTGCCTCACGGCTGGCGGCATTGTCTTGTCTCAGAACCGTGGACCTTCTGGACTGGAACATCCTCATCGATGGCAAGAACAAGCTCGCCAAGCACCTGGTGGTCCCCAACCCAAAGGTAATGCAGCCCCCTCGGCTTGGCCTCCCCCCCAGCAGGTACTGTCCTGGGGGAGATGAAATGAGACCTAGAATTCACAGAGGGGCTCAAACCATGGTTCCTACACACTGAACCTGTGGGCTGGGGAGAAGACTCACCTCCAGTGCTCAAGGCCTTAGGAGATCACGGATACACAGCCGGGGTGCCACGTGGCGCGGCCACCAGGTTGGGTTGGGGGTCTGGGAGGGCCTTCCTCTGACGATGACTGGTGGCCAATTATCACATACTAGGACAACACTCTTGGCATCAGTAGCCAGGAAATCAAAAAAGTATTGCGATGGGAAAGTCTGCTGTTAGGGACCTCTCCAAAGTACTCAAGAGCAATGATGTCACTCTGGAGACTAAGGTGTGTCTGACACAGGCTATGGTCTTTGCAATCACTTGTTAAGCATCAGAGAGTTGGACAATGACCAAGGAGGATAGAAGAGAATTGGTGCCTTTGAGCTGTGGTTCTGGAGAAGAGTATTGATGGACTGCTAGGAAAACAAACAGATTCATCCTGGAAAGGGTTAAACTGGGCTGCTCCTTGGAGGCAAGGATTCTGAGGCTTCATCTGACGTACTTTGGACATGTTGTAAGAAGGGACAAGTCCTTGGAGAGGGACATCATGCTTGGAAGGGTGGAGGGACAGCGCAGGAGGGGAAGACCCTCTATGAGGTGGATTGATTCAGTGACGGGGTAATCGGGATGGGTGTTTTAGAGGCAGTGCGATTGGCACAGGACAGAGCAGAGTTTAGGGCTGTTGTACATAGGGTCGCTATGAGTCTCAAGCGACTCGACAGCACATAACAACAACAACAACAGGACAACTGAGATCTTAGTGGCCAGAGGCGGTGGCCATCCCGTCACGGGTCTGAGTTGATGGGCTCAGCAGGGCAGCTCTCATGCCCTGAAGTGGCAGTGGTGGTGGCAGTGACAGTGTGGGTCACCTGATGCTCGCTTATTCACACTTCTGTGCTTGGTGCTGGCTGTCAGCTGGGACCTCACCTCGGTGGCTGTGTTCTCAGGGCGAGTGTCCCCCGACAAAGTCAGACAGAAGCTGTGCCATCATTTGTAGCCTGGTCACACGGCTGTCAGTTCTGCCAAATCCTGTTTGTTAAAAGGGTCACATCCCACTGGTTCAAAGGGCCATTTGTTAAGGCTACTCTGTACTCGGGGAAGGACAGGAGGTTCTACCTATTACTGGGAGGAGTACGTCACAATGGTGACTCACACGACGGAGCTGACGCCTGAGCCGGGTGGGTTAAAGATTAAGTAGACGTTCATTGAAATACTATGGCTGGTTGGTGATATGGTGGCAGGTATTAGCTGAATCCAAAGCTGACATTTATCCATCAATCAATAAGCTCTAGAATTACACTGAGACCTTGTTGTTTTTGTTTTTGTTGTTGTTGTTGTTGTTTGTATGTACTATCGAGTCACTTGCGACTCCTAGCAACCCATGTACAGTAGCCCTGAAACCTTCTCTATCCTGTGCCAACTTTACTGTCTCCGACACACCTAACCCCGTTACCCCAGTTTCTGAATTATTCCATCTCATCCAGGGTTTTCCTCTCTTTCTGTATCCCTCCACCCTCCCAAGCATACTGTCTTTCTCCAAGGACTGGTCCCTCCTTGGATTAAAAAAACAAACAAACCTAACAGCCCACAAACAAAAACTATTGCTATAACAGTTCTGCCCTCACTTGATACTTCCAGCATTGCTCCCACCACCACCACCCTGAGCCATGGAAGGTGAGGTTCAGTCGAGAAAGCATGAGCTTGGGTAGGTCACTGCACAGTGTCTGGTATTAATTAGAGGGTGCAGGGGGGGGAGCTTGTTGGCAGCAGAGTAAGAGCTGGGAGGGTCAGGTGAGGCACTGACGTTGGGGAGGTCCTCCAGCCAGGCAGATGAGGGCTCAGCTCCTCAGGCTGACGGCTGAGGGGCCAGATGTGTGCTGAGTTGACCTGGTCACATAGTCTGGGGACAATGTCGGTGTAGTAAGTGTGGAAGTGGGTACAGGTGCCCTCAAGGAGGTGGCTGGCCTAAGCCTGGAGCCTAGGGAGTGGTTCTTACAAGGTCCATCCACCTATAGCAGACCCTCCAGCCGGTTTTCAGAGCCAGTAAATTGCACGGGGGGGGAGATTGCTCATCTTTCTTCCATTGGAGCAGCTGATGGTGGATTCGAAGGAGCAGCTGATGGTGGATTCGAACCGTGTGCTTTTGCATTGGCAGCGCAACTCCTTACCCCTAAGCCACCAGAGCTCCTTGGAGCCTGGAGCAGGGGGCCTAAAAACTGACTTGGAAGCTGGAGGAGGAAATGGACCCTTCCACCACTGAGAGGCCTGCACCCTGGGTGGGGGGCTGGGGGCAAGTGCTTGGCACACAAGCCTGGAGAGGCCAGGGCTGACACAGGTGCCCCCACTGCACAAGGCCTCCTCCATCCTGGTCCACCAGGTCCCTGTATGTGGGACACTGTGGCTGGTTCAAAGGTCCAGGCTCCACGACCTGTGTCTGTGCTCCTGTCGCCAACCTGAGGGCAGGTAGCACCACGGGGCCTGGGGACCAGCCATGTGGCCATCAGCAGGTGGAAGGAGCCCTCTCTCAGCCCTACATGTGGCTGTGAGAGTGCTCGTGGGGTTGATGGGGGGCTGGCCAGCCAAGCTGCTGGGGGCTCAGCCGTGGCTGCCCCTCAGACAGGACAGCTGGAGCCTCTGCTGTCGCGGTTCACAGAGGAGGAAGAGCTGCAGATGACGAGGGTGCTGCAGAGAATGGACATCCTGGCCGAGGTCCGAGGCTGGCTGCTCGGGACGGAGGAATCCCGACACTGCAGGACCGGGGCGGCCTGGCAGTGGTGGGGGGGGGGACTGGCCTCAGCTGAGCCCCAAGCACACTCATTCGTGCACCCCTTGTGCCTCTCAGAAAGCCTCCCAGGTGGGCGTGCGGCTCATGATGGACGCTGAGCAGTCCTACTTCCAGCCGGCCATCAGCCGCCTGACGCTGGTGACGCAGCGCAAGTTCAATGTGGAGAAGCCGCTCATCTTTAACACGTTCCAGTGCTACCTCCGGGTGCGGCCCCCTGCCCCACGGGGGGGGCAGCCCCCTAGAAGGGACACCGCTTACCCGAGGCCCTGGAGGGTGGCTTGGCTCTGGGCACAGGCTTGGAGGTGGTGGGATGGACGGAGCCGGCCCGGGGGGGATTTAGTGACATGTCTGGGCCCTGTGTCCCAGAGAGACCCCTGCCTCACCCTGGGTGGACCAAGCTGCCTCTGTCTAAGAGCTTAAACCGCACCTGCAGTGCAAGGGTCCCTGGAAGGAGGCTCCAGGGTGGGTCCTGCTCTGGGGCCCTGGGGCCCAGCAGAGTCTGTGACTTTTGGTCCATCCGGCCCCTACAGGAAGCCTATGACAACGTGACTCTGGACATGGAACTGGCTCGCCGAGAGGGCTGGTGTTTTGGGGCCAAACTGGTTCGGGGAGCCTATATGGCCCAGGAACGTGCCCGAGCTGCTGAAATCGGCTACGAGGACCCCATCAACCCCACGTATGAGGCCACCAACGCCATGTACCACAGGTATGTAGCCCCTTGGCCACTTTAGGGAGTGGGGAAAGACAGGATGGGGCCCCGGGGGCCTTTCTAGGGTGGATAAAACAGGGCCCAGGGGGATTCAGGGACACTGGGAGAGCAGCGAGCCACCACATATGACCTGGTTGGGCCTAGGCTGCAGCTACTAATTCCTTTCCTGTTTCTTCTGTTCATTTTTCAACATCACCGAGGGTGTGTAATATAGACTTGTCTACTGAACTGAAGGCAAGGGGCCTCCAGTCTGTCCCGATGGCCGGTCCTCCATGCCAGGGCCCTCGAGCTCTGGACCATGGCCACACCACCTCTCTTCTGCAAGGGAGCTCTGGTGGCCTAGTGGTAAGGGGTTGTGCTGCCAATCCAAAGGCACACAGTTCAAATCCACCAGCTGCTCTGCAGGAGATAGATAGGCAGGCTCCTCTTGTGCGAGTCACTGTCTCTGAAAATCCCCGGGAGGGTCAGCGATGAGCTGGTCCTGACTCGATGGCACTGAACATCTTGTCTGAAAACACAAGGCCGCTGGCTATCTCCCTAGCAGTGCCTTCTAGGGACACCCTGTGACATACAATCATCTATTTTTTTTATTTTATTATTTTTGTGTGTGTGTGTACCATCAAATCGGATCTGACTGGTACAGGAGGAGATTGCCCCTCCTCCAGCAGAGCATCTGGTGGATTCGAACCACAGACCTCGGGAACTGCAGGGCAGCTTCTTGCCCCTAGGCCGCCAGGGCTCCCTAGTCCTATCATTTTTCTATGCCATACACACACATCTTTGCTCCTGCTTCATTCTTTTGACATTCTTTCTTGATCCTTTGATGCTGGAACACACAGAAGTGCCTGATCCTTTGTAGAAGCCAGCATGGCATCCTCATGTTACATGCCTACTCTCCCTACGATCTTTTTTTTCCACCCTAGTTTTCTGATCCTGTTATAATAGCCGCTCATTTGCGTATCCTGTGCCATCAGGCAGCTGTCACCAAGCTCTGGAAACAGAATTAGTGGCTCAAAGAGGACACTGGTTTATCAAGACTGCTAGCTTGTTCTTCCTCCAGATCATAGGATTTGACCAGACCTGTGCTAGACAGTTATGTGTCCATCACACTGGGGGTCTTCCTCTCTTTCACTAACCCAACACCTTTCCAAATATGATGTCCTTTTCCAAGGAATAGCCTCTCCTAGCAACGTGCCTGAAGGATGAGAGATGAAACTTTGCCATCCTTGCCTCCAGGAGCACTCTGGCTGCAGCAGAGGGCTCAAGTGTGTCGGCGATGGTGAGGACGGCACAGGGCAGGACAGGGGTCAGGTCTGTTGTCCACAGGGTCGCTATGAATCATACTGTACTCAGTGACACCTAACAACAACATGCCAGACTGAGGCAGCTCTGGTGGTTGGTGGCAAGGCAAACAAAAGGCAAGCGGTTTGAACCCACCAGCTGCTCTGGGGGAGAAAGATGGGCGATCTCCTGTGTGATTAGCTGCCTTCGAACACCCACTAGGAGATCAGCTAAGAGTCGGTTCTGACTAAATGGTACACAGTGACATCATCATGCTGGACTGACAGTCTCGAGTTTTGTGATAACTCGTGCTCTACCTGGCCGGCAAGCATGCACCTCTGCGTTATGTGAGCATATACTCAGGTTGGAAACAATCCACTGTCAGAGACGTTTCTAGAAGCTGACCCGCCTCCACCATGGTCCTTGGGGAGCCACAGCGTCTTTGAGGCAGGAACACCCTTGACTGCAGGTGCCTCTTATTCAAGGCCTCCCCGTTTCTGGTGAACTGGCTTCTGCTTATTTCTTTCCTCCTGGCTGATCCATTTAACTCATGAGTCTTGGCTGTTGCTGTGAGTAAAAAAGCCGGCTCTGCTCCTTCGTCCTGTTGCTGTGGACCCTGTGGTCATGCCCAAGGCCTCTCCCTGAGCAAGGGCCAGGCTCACGCAGGGGTCTCTCCAGGTGCCTCGACTTCCTGCTGGAGGAGCTGAAGCACAACGCCAAGGCCAAGGTGATGGTGGCTTCGCACAATGAAGACACGGTGCGCTTCACACTGGGCAGGTAGGTGCGGTGTCCCGTGGCCCTGGCTGCAGTGGGTTCCTGGCGCGTGGAGTTGGTGGTGCCCCCTGGCAGTGTGTGCATGGAAAACCTTCAGAGAGAAGGTTCGAGAGCAAAGAGGCTGACAGCAAGCACTTGCATTTCAGTACTAATCTGTGTCTACTTGGGAGAGCTCTGGTGACCTAGTGTAAGAAACTGTGCTGCCAGCCCAGAGCCAGGCAGTTCAAATCCACTCGCTGCTCTGTGAGACAAAGATAGGCAGTCTCCTCCTGTGTGATTTACAGCCTCTGGAAACCCGCTGGAGGGCCAGCTATGAGTCAGTTCCGATGGGACGGCTCATGACAACAATCTGCTGTCTTGAAGTTTCAAATGGAAAAAGAAATTCCATCAGGCGCTTGAAAGAGCGTATTGCAGGGGAGCTCTGGTGGCCTAGTGGCAAGGAGCTGCAACTACAATCCCAGAGGTACACGGTTCAAATCCACCAGATGCTCTGCCGGGGAAGGAGGGTCAATCTCCTCCTGTACCAGTCAGATCTGATTTGACGGTACACTCACAAAAAAATAAAAAGAAAAGAAAGAGCGTATTGCAACATTCCAAATGTGTCACATCTCGGTGATGATGCAGGAGGCCTCCACTTTGTCGCCACATTTATAAACACCTTGCCTCTTGTGTCAAACTGTGTTTGGAACCGAATTTTTTTCTTTTTCTTTAAATGGCTAGCCTGTGAAAGAAAATGATTTCTCAATTCTGATGCGTCCAGTTTGAAAGGAGGTAAATAATTCTTAGATATTCTGTTGTGACTATGCCTTTACCCAGTTGACGCCAGTAGCAGACCCTGGCCTTATCACAGAGGGTCAGCCCCATGGGAAGCCCAGCAGGCGGGCAGTGGCCTTTGTGACCTCTGCCCAGGGACAGAGCTGCGTGGGGTCTTCCAGAGGTGTGAAGGAGCAGGGCTGGTGGCGCATGCCTTCCAGGCACTTTGACTGCTGGGGAGCCAGCAGAGACATCACCTGGTCACCCCACAGCCACTCAGAAACATCCCAGAGTGGTGCTACTTTTCCCAGGAGCTAACATCAGGAAGGATTAAATTTTTTTTTCATTAATTTTAATGAAAATTCAGAGACTTTGGATTTCCATTCATTCATTGTTGTACTTTTCTCCCCTCCCCCCAGCACACTCTTCTCTTTGAAAAGTAAAAGAAAAGTTCCCTCATTTTACAACCGCTCCCCCCAGGTCTACTCCACTATGCAGCCTTCGTTCTGGACTCCTGTCATGACAAAAAAATACCTAATCACATATCCCTTTTAAACAGTTTTCTCCCTCATCTGTTTCAAAGCAGTATACATTATCGAACCCATCTTTCTCAGTCTCCTCCCAACCCAGATGTCAGTCCTGTTTTGCAACAGTGGCACCATGCAGTATTTGTCCTTTTGTGACTGAGATATTTCACTCAGCATAATGTCCTCCAGGGTCACCCATTTTGAATAATATTGCATGAGCTCCTCATTTTTCAATGCAGCATAGTATTTCATTGTGTGAATATACCACAGCTTCTCTATCCATTCGTTTGTTGATGGGTGCTTAGGTCGTTTCCAACTCCTTGCTATTGTGAACAAAGCCACGATAAACATGGGTGTGCATAAGGATTAATTTCTTAATCTTAATTTTGGTAAACATACACACAACAGTTTCTTTTCCTTTTTCCTCCTGAGATGGCATTACAAGTGCCCTGTCTTGCAGTTCATTAACTCTCCTGTCACTTCACATCTGTGAAGACCTCTTAAAGTACTTTTATGGTTATTCTTGGGCGCCAGTGTGTGGTTACTTATTATCATTTCTGTCTCTTTAGTGAAATTCTTGTGGTGGTTTCTGATTTTCTTCCGCTGACTACCCGAGTGTTCTTGGAACTTATTTACTAATGTCACTTTCTCGTTGTCTATTCTGTCACATTTCCAGGCTTCCATACGACCGTTTTCGCTTTTTGTACTTCTGATAGGGCCATCTGTTCCTGCTGTTGAAACTGGGACATCGGAATTTTATAGCAACTTTAAACATTCACATTCTCCTTCCGTGAGGATTGCAGTGGCTGGTTTTGACCCCATCCTCACCCTCATGCTCCAGTTGTTCACCAACCCCTTCTGTAATTGAAGAGATTGCCCTGGATGTGCCGGGCTGCTGAGCCGCAGCTTGTGCTGTGCTCGTGTTTTGATGGAGACCTTCTTGTGCTCTGGGAGTAGAGGACAAGACCAGACCGTGTACTACAAAGAATCGGACTCGTCCCCTGCCCGGGGACTGCTGTTGCTTCATGTAGACGGTTGCCTGATGTTTAGTGCAGGTCCCAGACTACCTTGTGCAAAGTACATATTCCGGTTATGTTCACTCTTTAGTCTGTCAGTGTCCTAAATGATTCCACCAGAGGGCACAGTGACCCCTTGCAATTGCTGGGAGGGGTAAGCTGCACCTGTGAAAGAACCCACATCTCCCCAGCAGTCTGAACCTGTCTTTGCAGGGCACTGGTAGACGAGCCTTTATGTGCAACCTCAGAAATCGTGGGGGGCCAGCTCCCCACGGCACTGGCTAGCCTCTCTAGAAACACTGGCTCCTTTCCCCACCTGCCTGGAATAGGGAGGCAGTGGCCAGTGGGCCCACATGGCCACCCAGGAAAGACTACAGCCTCTGCCTTCAGCCAGCGCTTGCTTCCCTGGTTAAATGTCCTAGCTGTTCCCAGAGTCCTTCCATAGTTCCAGTTGCTCTTCACCAGGAAAGAGCTGATCAGGTGGAGGGACTAACTTTCTGGGTCCTAATGTTTGTGAGAGACTCGCAAGTCAGAGCCTTTGGCCTTTATAAACCTGTCTGCTTCCACTATGCGAACTAATCCAGTGACTCGGAACCACACAGTCCACGGCACTGCTCTCGCCATTTCCCCAGGCCCACGGCGAAGGCTCTTCTGAAAAGCAAGCTCATCTTTGGTTCTTCAGGTCAACAGTCAAGAATCCCACAAAGCAGCCTGCCAGCAAAAGCTCTTGGGCCAGAGGGGAGTACGGTTTCCCCCTCGCTGTCTTTTTCTCATCAGTCCCCACTGCCCCTGTGGGAAGAGGGAGAAGCATCGACAGACTTCTCTACCACCGAATGCTGCCTCTTCTGGCTTCAGTGTTTGCTTAGCTGCTGCAACCTGGGATGGTTCTAGGGTCCGGAGTCTGCTGGTCCCACCACATTGTTTCTTCTTTTCTTACCGAGCGATGGAAACCCTGAGCTGCCTCTCGCAGTGTTCTCATGGTCTCGCCCTGTGTGCAGGCCTCTGCCCCTAGGCTGCGGTACCTCCATTCCGTGAATAGTAGCGGGGCTTTGCCTCCCCGTCTCATGTTAAAAAAGAACAGGAAAAAACCCCTGAAGTCTTTAAAATAGAAGGTTATTCAAAGCAGTTACTCTGTACATAATAGCGAGACCATGCTGATTTCAGTAAAACATAGCAATTAAAAGTGAGCTAGTTGTGATAATCCTTAATAGGGGAAGGGAGGACCCTGGACCCTGACTGATCTTAATGTAACTGGTGGTATCAGGTTCTGTCTGCGAACAATCTGGCCTTCCACATACTTGCAGCCGTGAACTTCTGAGATTTCAATTAGGAGAACCAGGAGGCAGTGGCTTTGTTGAATAGTCTAACAGAAAAAGACAAACTTGCATTGTTTTAAGCAGTTTTCTGATGGGCTTTTGCAGTCCGAGTCAAGCTTTTTGTGGTTCTTTGGTTTCCTGGATAAGAAATACTTTAAAATCAAAGTGAGATGTTCTTTTCCTCTTTGACACTCTTAAGAGACTTTGAATGGTGGTGTCTGCTCTGTCCTCTTCCCAGTTCAGGCTGCCACATTACACATCCAGGGACCTCAGGCAAACAGCCCATGATGCCAGCTTTGGTCGAATAACAAACCAGCCCCAAATTTGGGGACCGTAATGATATATTCTGTGTTGTGGCGTGAGCTGGGCTCAGCTGGAGGCTGCATCTGTTGGCTTGCGCGCGGGCCCTTCCTGTACCTGCTGGTCTGCTGGGTACTGGCCTGTCTAGACGACTTTATCCACGACCAGGGCAACTGTACCTTGAGCCCAGCCTCGAGCAGGCCAGACTGGACTTCCTCATGTGGTGGTCAGTTCCAGCACTGGGAGAGGGCAGCTTCTGCTTGCATCATTTGCCATTGTCTTGCTGCACAAAGGGCACTAGGCCTTGCCCAGATGCCCAGATGCCCAGCGGAGACTCATTCTATAACTTGATGAGTCACAGTCACTGTTATGGATTGGGGGTCAGGGTTGAGGGAACATGCAGGGGAGGGAGTAAGCCACACAGACTTGCTACTCCAGGGGTGCCTGACTTGATCAGCAAGACAACAGCAACTCAGCTCTCATGGGGTTCACTGTGACAGATGTGGGGGTATGAGGAGACAAGGAACCAGGGTACGCCTGCCTCTTGGGGGGTAAGTGGAAGGCTGGCAGAGGTGGGCTTGAGTCCTGTACAGATCTGTACTAAGTCTGGATACACAGATACAAAGTCGGGCTTAACATGTGGGGTGTTCATATCTAAGTATTTCACCCTGGGCATTTCTGACAGTGCACAACAACTAGTAAAGACAGTAGGGTGCCGGACAGTGATGGGAGTCTAAACCCCAAAATGAAGAGCACCGCCAGCTGAACAGAATGCAGACTCTATTTGCCATTTAACATCTCTTAGCCACAGGAGAAAGGGTGACATTCCATTAGTACATTTTATTCCTCCCAGCACATTCAAAATATCACCATTTCAACACGTCAGGATTCTTCAAAGGCTCGAAGTCGTGCTACCCTCCTTCTGTGCTGGGCCCTTGAGCCTGGGGGGCCGCTGGGGCTGTGGCCCATCTCAGCTTGGGGGCTGGCGTCCGGAATGCACAGCTCTGCAGACGGAAGGGGATCTGGCAAAGGGGAGCACGAGGAGCCGCAGAAACCCGAGGGACTTAAGCAAGGGCCCCATAGCGATGAGTGGAGTGGGCGGTCAGCGGTGGCACCCAGGTGAGGGGGCAGGTGGCTGGAGGGGCCTGCCTCTGGATCCCTGGGCTTCAGTTTGCACCTGAGGAGGAAAGCAGAAGAGGTGTGAGGGAAGCGGAGGTAGGAGGCAGGCTGGGGCAGGAGGGAGCCTTGCTGGCCATGGACCACAGCTCTGGGCTGCCCCCTGCATCTGAATCCGGCTCCAGCTGACACAGGCCTCTCTCAGGGGAGAAATGCCTAGGAGTGGGGTGTCTAGCTGATGCAGGGCACTCCTGGCCCTACCGTCCAGGGGCAGGGGACTGGAGTCTGTGGAAGGTGGTGACTGAAAGGACCGGAGCTGATCCTCGAGTGGGTTTTCAGAGGCTATAAACTGCACAGGAGGAGAATACCCATCTCTTCCACGGGCTCCTTACCTCTGGGCCACCAGAGCACCCCATCTGCTGGGTAGCAGGAGGGAACTAGAGTCAAGACAAGTTGCCCCAGACCCTAAGCACCCGGCCTCACCTGCTCACAGGATGGAGGAGCTGGGCCTGCATCCCGCGGATAACCAGGTGTACTTCGGACAGCTGATGGGCATGTGTGACCAGATCAGCTTCCCGCTGGGTGAGCAAGGCCCTCCCTGCGGTTGGAGGTGGGGGTGCATCCTTCTTAGCAGGGCTCCGGCTCACCCCACCTCTGCCTGTGCGCATACACACAGGCCAGGCGGGCTTCCCTGTGTACAAGTACGTGCCCTACGGCCCTGTGATGGAGGTGCTGCCCTACCTGTCCCGCCGTGCCCTGGAGAACAGCGGCATCATGGAGGGGGCCCAGCGCGAGCGGAAGCTGCTGTGGCAGGAGCTCACACGGAGACTCTGTGCAGGCGACATCTTCTACCGCCCCGCCTAGAGCCCCGGGGGGCTGATGCCACCTGTCACCGCTGCTGCCAGCTGGGGCCCCGCCCCACCAGCTGTGGCCAGGCTCCTAGGGCCTCAAGACTCAGTGGTTTGGGGCAGGGTCTGGACCAGGGCCAGGCTGGACGGAACCGCTACAGCTTTCCTTTCCACCCTCCCACCACACCCACGTGCCCCAGCCCCAACGAGAAGTAGGCTGGGCATAATGGCAGGAGGTGGGGCCAGCTGGTCAGAGGGGACCTACTCCTGCCTGGGGGCGGGAATGTGCTGTCTAACAGAGCCCCTCTGCCAGGGTGTGAGCCTCCTGGCCTGAGCAAGCCTTCTTGTCAATAAACCAGTTTCTACAGCTGTGACCTCTGGTGTTTTCCTGTGGATCAGCTTGGGGTGGGGGAGTTGGGTGGCCTGGTGGGGCCCTGAGAAGCAGGCCTTCAGGACCTCACCAACCTGCCATCATCTGCTCTGGAGATCAGTCTGATGGCCCCTACCTCCTCCATAACCAGGGAGTCACCAACCCCCCCCCTCCTGGTCGGGATGAGACCAGATGCCTCATGCTTCCAAGGGCAGGCCTGTGAGTTCCCACACACCTCCACCTCCTGGCCTCTTCCCACCTAAGGCTGACTTCCCTTCTGAGACTTCCTGTTGCTCATGGCCTTCACCCCAGCAGCCACGGTGACCTACACTGGGCTGTTGCTCCAGGAAGCCTGAAACGAGCCCAGAGCTGCCACCAGCTCCCTGCTGCGCACCTGGTGTCCTGTCTTCTCCAGCCACCAGCCTCACTGAGAACAAGTTAGCTGTGGCCCTGTGTCCAGGCTCTGCAGGGGGACCTGCACCAGACACTGGCACAGTCTTGTGGGACCAGGGGTGCCTGGGAGTCTCCTGGTCCTGGGGAAAGGTGGTGGGACCAGGTGTGCTGGTGCAGAAGAAGGGAGTCCCAGACGGGCACCTGCAGCAGCACTGGACTGAACAGGGGGCCATGCCTGGCACCATGGTCAGCTGGCTCCTTCACAAGCCACAGAGCCACCAAGTGGTGACTCCCTGGCCCCAGTGATGGTGGGCCCAACAGAGCTGTCACAAAACCATGTGCAGGTCACACTAATGAGTCTTTATTCCTCTGGGGCATTAGAACCTTTTGCTTTGGCATCAATGGAGAGGCCAAGACCAGAGTAAGAGTGCAGCCCGGTGCCTGTGCAAGGTCGGGAAGTTCCCAGTGGAGGGATCAGGTCCTCCAGCCTCACCCTCCACTCGGTCCTGAGCGGACAGCAGGCTGGCTCACTCTCCCCTTTCACACACCCATCCTGCCATTTGGACAGAAACGCTCAGGCAAAGGTGGGGAGCACACACAGCCAAGCTGAGAGGTGACCAGGCACGAGGAAGATGAGCTCTGCTCCACTCAGGTCTGGCATGAAAACACCAGGGCAGGGCTGTTCTCCGAGCGGGCTGGGCACTGGGTGACGGGGGGCTCTCACCTGGTCACAGGGTTCCCTTCCCCACCTGGCAGCCCCTCTGCTGCAGCTTCCGGATCAGTTCCAGTAGATTCATCTGGAGTGTCAGCTCCTAGGGCACAGAGAGGGGTCCCTGTGAGGTCAGGGCCAGGATCACAGTGTGTCCCCGGGTCCCTGCAGAAACCTCTGGCTGCCTTTCCCATGGATTCAGAAAAGAGGTACCAGGGCTGAGAGGGTGCCTGGAAGTGAGACTAGGATGATTCTGGGTGGAGACGCAGAGCCTGAACTTCACCCCACAGTAGGGCCTGCGCTGCCCTGGCTCAGCACACGGGAGGGATGTGCAGAAGACTGATGAGGGCTGGGGGCGTCCCTGTGGCCACTGCCTCCCCCTGCTCTGGCACAGCCCCTTCCCGGAGGGCCCCTTCCCCACACACCAGCCCGGGGCTGGAGCAGCACCCAGCAGTCAGGTCTCAGGCGGCGCTGACCTGCGGGTTGGTGGTGACATAGAAGCCGGCGACACCGGCCTTCTCCAGCGTGCTCTGCTGGTCCGCCACCTTCCGGTCCAGCTCCAGGACGATCTTCTCATCCATCGTCCGCTGCTCCTCACGAATCCGGTGTTCCACTGCCTGCCAAAGGCAGGGCGGCTGAGGGCGGCGCTGGGGCGCTCAGCCCCGTCCCCTCCCAGGCCACCAACACACAATGCTGGCCTGCTGCCTTCTTCCCCGGTCCTCTGGTCCTACCCTAGGCTAAGACCAGCCCCAAGACCAGTAACCAGTGGCTTTATCACTCCCACCTCGCGCCTCTCTCCTGAGCCAAACAAAACCTTGCAGAGGGGCTGGGCAGCGGCCGGCCTGCCCTCTTCACTCTCTGCTCTGCCGCTTCCAGATGCTGAGCTGCTGGCACAGCCTGGGGCCCTCAGTAGCTGGACCTCCTCTCCCAGGCACCCCCACACTGCCCAGCTACCTCACACACACCTCTGTGGGCCCCCTGCCCTCCTCCCATCAATTTTATGCTGGTCCCCAGGTAAATATGGACTTTGCTGAGAGCAAGGAGCTTAGGACCTTAGGCCCTGGACCCAGCGGACAGAAAGAAACCAGGAGCTGGCAGGAGTGCAGCAGCTGCCTGGCTTGGTTATCCCCCTTGCCACTGGGGAGGTGGGCATGGAGGTCTGGACGTGCCAGGTGATGACCTGACCTCAGAACCTGCTCTGTGCAAAGAGCTGGCTCACAAGGAGGTGAGAGAGAATGGGGAGATGACAAACAGGCTCTTTGCTCCACCCTATTCTATGCTTCTGCCCCACACAGGGATCTGAACGCTACACCCCACAGTGAAGAGTCACATAGTAGGATACCCAGCCGCCGGCTGCCCGTCCCAGGACACAGTGGAATCGCCCGTGTCCTTCCACATGGCCCAGCCGGCAGGCCCCGACCACCCTGTCTGTGCCCTTACCTCCAGCTCCCGCTGCTGAGCCGCCTGCAGCACAGACAGGTTGTGGGGCCGGCAGGTCTGCTGAGCCGCCTCATGCTTCTGCCGCAGCGCCTGTCTGAGCACTGGAGGCGGGCGGTGGGGGTGGACACGCAGGACCTCTCAGCAGGCGTATGTACAACGTCGCACCTCTGCACCCACCTGGCACCCCCCACAGAGCAGGCAGGCCCGAAGGGAAGGCGGGAGGCAGGCAAACCCTCCCAGCAGCAGAAAGTTGGGGATGCACTGACTCCCACGAGCCCCCCACCTCCCGCCACCCCAGACATCCTTCCTCTCCACAAGGGCAGGAGAAGAAGGGCTGGCATCTCAAGTCCAGACTAAGAAGGCCAAGGTGGGGCAGAGGCTGCCAACTGGAGGCTTCTGGGCTTTGATGGCCTCAGGCCAGTGGACCCAGGTATGCCTGTCTCATCATTCGGGGGTACCCAAGAGATTCCCAAAGACCACGACCCAGGCACAGATCTAGAAAAGGAGGGAAGAGGGGTCACTTTTCAAGCTGGAGCTGTGATGCCATTTAGGGAGGCAGTGGCCCTGAACCCCATCCACAGCTCCTAGCTTCCTCATCACAGCTGGAGTAGAAGGGTGCGCATGGACCATGGGTGACCAAGAATGGGGGCTGGCGAATCCACCACCTCACACTGCGCACGCCAGGCCTACTGGGGTCCCGACCAAACACTTGGGGGCATGATCCGCCAAGGGGAACAGCAGTTACAGGAAAAGCAAACCTGATAAACTCATTTTTCAAATGAAGAAACAGTGCAGCCTTGCTTAACTAGAGGCCCCACTGTAGATGACAGAGGGAGTTACCAAACTAAAAACAATGGCAGGAAAATCCTAAGGCAAGAAGAGATGGAAGCCTGGGTTCCTACAAGCTTGACAGAGGCTCAGCGCCGCAGAGAGGGGCTCACTAGACGCTACATACGCCCATGTCCCTGCTAAACTGTGTCACCATAATAGATGTGTGCAAATTTGTCCAGTTTGGTGGGAATGGGCAAAGAGAAAAGGTGTCACAAGATGAAAAGAAACCACCATCACAAAACAGAGAAGATCACGCACCAGGGCCCTGGACGTGGTTAGGTGGGGTCCTCAGCTACTGCTGTTTGGGCCCACTGAGTTAACCATGACTCAGAACAGCCCTGTGAACAGCAGCTCTGAACCTCACCTGGCCCGCCTCCTCCTCTCCACCTCATGCTCGAGCCCTGCACCAACCCAACTCGGTGAGGATCATCACTGACCCTCCACCTCTGTCAGCATGCTGCCTTTTGCCAAGGACTGTCCTCTCTGATGACACGACCAAAACACGTGAGATGCAGTGTCACCACCCTTGCTTCTAAGGAGTTGCTGAGTTTGCCTCCAATCTTGAGGCCACATTCTTCTTTTGTAGTCCAGCTTCTCAAATGACATGCTGAGTGTAAGATTACATAGGTTTAGAGAAAGGATACAACCCTTACACACACATTTTCGAATTTTTTTAAACCATGCGGTGTTCGTGCCTTTGTTCTGTTTGGACAACTGCTTCTTGGGTTTGCATGAGCACAATTAAGTGTTCTGGGATTCTCATTCTTCTCAATGGTATCCAAAATCTGTTAAGATGCAAAAACAGTCAAATGCCTTTGGATAGTCAATAAAACAGAAACAAACACCTTTCAGGCATGTTCTGCTTTTAGCCAAGATCCAGCTGGCATCAGCAGTGATACTCCTTGTCTCACAGCAAACACAAACCCCAGCAACATTCCAGGAAAGAGGTCTCCCCTTACAGCTGTCCTTGAGAAAGTCTATTGGGTCTCAATGCCAGCAACCTGCACCTATTTTGCCGTGAGCCTCGGCCACCTTCCTTTTGATGGTCTGCGCACCCCTCAACTACAACAGTTAACACATTATGTGTATTTTAAAGCAAAAGCCGCTCTCAGGACAGCTCTATAAACACACAAGATGAGAATGACACCTCTAGTTAGTACTCTCAGTGGCTAATGAACAGGCCAGCAGTTTGCGTTCACCCAGCAGTGCCTTGGAAGAAAGCAGTGCTAGGTGGTTCATTTACTTCCAAAATAATCAACCACTTAAGACTGTGAAGCTCCGCTCTACTCTGGCACACATGGCAAAAAGAGTATCTGACAAGTTAGTGTAGGATGTAGAGGGGAAAATGAAAGGAAATCAATAAATGCAGGGGCATCTCAGTTGTTTTGCTACAAATCCCAGGTCAATCAATTCCCAGTTCCCAGTGGGTAAGCAACTCAACGGAACAGAGTTGTTCACTAATGACCAACAGAAGTAAAGATCACGAGCTAAATCACCTGGGAGGACAAAGCAGGCTTGCCCCGCGATGCAGCTCTGAAACCCGGTGCAAACGAGGAACAGGTGGCCAGAGTCTCCCCCAAAACTTCCCAGGAGGAGGAGCCAGTGCACCCTCGAGAAATGTCAGTTCAAAGACTGAGGCACACAAGAAGAAGAAGAAAAAAGATGTACTTCTGAACACCTTCCCTTGCCAGAATATAAGGAAGTGCTCAGAGGACAAAGGGCTGCCTGATCACGTATCTGAACAGTAACATGAGTAATCGGTTATGTTCTTTGGATTTGTGAACTATATGCATCTTATGCCTCCAATAATCTCAGGCAGGGTGACTCTATCTTTCTGGGGCTGTGTGAAGATGGTTGTCAGACTTGGTGATGAGGGGCCACTGTCACAAAGGAGCAAGCCCAAGAATGGGGCTAAACAACCTACAATGCATTGGACGGCCCCCACTATAAAGACTTCTTGAGTCACAACTGTCATTAGTGCCTGGTCAAAAACCTAGTCTGGAGGAAGGTGACAAAGTGCCATGTATTTGTTCTATGTATTAAAAAAAATATTCTTTTAACCTTTCTAAATATGTATGTATGTGATTGATTTCACATGCAAGCAAGATTCTACTGAAGATCATCCAAAAACGATTAGAACAGCACATCAACAGAGAACTGCCGGAAGTCCAGGCTGGGTTTAGAAGGGGTCGTGGTACTAGGGATATTGTTGCTGATGTTAGATGGATCTTGGCTGAAAGCA